TGTGCAGCAAATGGGTTAAAGTCTGTGATAGGAAATTATAAAGATAACCGCTTTAAACGCTTTGTTTCAGACAGCCGCTGAAATTTTTGTGCACCGTGATGACTTCATTAAAGTCCTTGAAACGGTGAAAACCCCCAATCTTAAGCTAAAATCTGTTCTTGCAGATCTAAAATCTGACATTATCATGACTCTAATACAAGTGTCTAGGTTTATTTTATCTGAGAATAACTGGCCCTTCTGGAAACTTTTAACAAGCAACAAAGTCCCCATATGTTGAACTGTATCCTGAAATAAATGACATCAGAAACTTCCTGGAAATTTGTCAAGATGACCCGGCAAACATATGGGCACCTTGATTCCCACTGGAGTAATGAAGACCCCCATGACATTAGTGATTTTCCATACCGTCAACTGTTTAAGAGCAAAACTGTCTGTAATCATCGAGCCAGAGAACGGTTTGCCATGCCGAGAAATATTACTGAATACAGTTAAATTAGTGGCCTCTCCATGAAGAAAACTGTTGATAAACAGCTTGTGGACTTTCTCCCTGATGGACAATTTGGTGTTCAACCCTCAAAAAGACAACCTCCAAAGAACAGGTTTTGCCCATGTGACAAATTTAGCTTGCGAACATCATTTTGGAGATCTGGATAGCAGCCAGCGACGTCCGACCAAGTGCTTCAATGCATCATCATTCCTCAGTTCAGTTATTAAAAACGCAATAGACTTCAAATGATTAGTTGGTTAAATAAAATGCCTAGGGATGAACTTGAAAATGTGATGAAAAAAGCACGTAAAGGAGGAAAACAACTGAGAGATGAACACCGAACACAAGAAAAAAGTGTTATGAGTGAAATTAAATGCGGACATGGCTCAAATAAAAGAAAAAGGGAAGAAAAGAAAAATGAACAAAGTGACAGGCAAAAGTAAACTAAAAAACAAAAGTGCAATGAAGATGATAGTTTGGAGGAAGAGAATTTCAATGAGGAAGATCAATTTAAACGCGACTTGTCGAAAAATGACATTGTTAAAGAAAATGAGTACATTGCTGTAGCCTATCAAGATACATGGTATCCCGGAATTGTGTCTTCTGTTAATTCAAATAGAACTATGTTTGTTGTTAAGTTTATGTCCCCAGCAAGAAAAGTGGGACATTTTTGTTGGCCTGCACGTGAAGACATTCAAAACTGTAGAAAAAGACTTCATTCTGAAAATAGGTTTTGTTTCAAACTGTTTAAATTCTGGCCGTATGTGGCAAATTGAAGAAACTGATGAAATAAACAAACTGTTTGTGAAATTTAAGAAGTATTATTTCTAACTGTAAAGTAGTTAAATAATAAAAAAGACACTAGACCACTGGTTATTTTGAATAAGATATTTGGATCTCATTTGCAAAATGTATATGTAATTTAAATTAAATTACTTTAAATGTAATCTTATTCAGTTATTGTTATAAAATATATTTTATTAAGCACTGAATTGCTTTGATATGTATATACTTTGTTAATGATATATTGAAAATGAAAATTATTGTGATGAAATTTTGATGATGTATGATATATATGCATGCGATAAAATAAATTTTAGCATTATACCAGAAAATAAAATAAATTTTCAGATCACTGGTAACAGAATGTTGTTTATTTTGTTTTATTAAAGTCATGATAGTACATAAAATGGAAAGCAGTTGTGTGCAGCATAGGGAGATCTTGCAGTGTTCCAAATTTCATCAAGATACCTCAAAAAATAAAAAAGTTATGACATTTTTACTGTAAGTTTAACCATATTTCTTAACGCGTCGGTTCCGCCGGCGCGACACGACTATTAGGCAAATAATATGCGGAAAATTCTGAAATTTCGCCATTTTCAATGAAAATTAAAATTGCATAACTTTTTTATTTCTTCATCAATTTTAAAAAGGAAAACTGTTCTGAAAAGGTCTTTTTAAGACCTTTATAATGGTTTTAATCAACTAATCATTACTGATATTTGAAAAATTAAGCTTTGGATGCTAATTTAAATCCACTAGACTGGTTGGACGACCAGATTTGAATATTCACTAGCCCAAAAGACATTTCACTAGCACAAATCATTTGTTCAAAACAGTTGTTTATATTGCCTCTGAAAATACAGTAGCCTGGTCGGGCTTGTAAGTGTGAAAAGTTGGTAGCCCGAGGAGAAATTTAGTAGTCAGGGGCTATAGGACTACTGCTAATTTCGAACACTGTATGTGTATAGTAAAAACTTAAAATATCTTCTTTTAAAAAACCCAATGAGCTAGAGCTTAGATGTTTAGCATGAAACATCTTCTTATGGGTGTCTACCAAGTTTGTTCAAATAAAAGCCCTTGGGTTAAAATTGGCCCCCGTCGGGGGTCATTGATTTTCCTATTAATATGTGTATAGCAAAAACTTAAAAAATCTTCTTTGAAAAAACCCAAATAGCTAGAGTTTACAGTGTTTTTTTTTCACCAAAATATTCGGCGAAATTCGGCCCCATTCCCCCCTCAAAATAGTATGTTTTTTTCCCCCTCAAAGCCGAAATTTCCCCCTATAATATGGCAGCCCAAATTTGCCTGCAATGAATATCATTTTTTTGCAATTAATTGCCGAAAAATTCTTTATTTTATGCCTGTAAGACTTACTGTTATGCAAGGTTGTTTACTAATTGTTCTCATATAGGTAAGGGGAGCTACTCCTGGTGTCCCAACAAGTTTATCATGTGACACATCAATATTTTAGATCCATATACAGTGATTAATCTAGAAATTCCTTACAATGCGTCAGATGACGCACATGTTTGAAAACAATGAGTCCTGTAGCAAAATCAATGAGTCATGTAGCAAAATAAATGCGTCTTAGCAGAATTTTTTTTTTTTTTTTAATAGCAGATCCTTGACATGATTTGCATGTTTTTATAACAAGCGATTAAGTAATAAAAGTTATTTTTGGTACTTATATTAATTGCAGGCAAAACAATTTTTATTGGCTGCTCAAAAATCTAATTTGCATAATTTATATTTTCTTACTACTTATGTCTAATACTGTGCATTACCCATTTTAATTGTTCGTAATTTGCACAAAATGTCCCTGTCACACTGTATACATGCTGATGACTTTTATTGCTCCTTGTATGCCTCTGTGTAGAAAGCATACACAGACAGACCTTTTGATCATGAAAAAAAGTCATGCACAATGTTTCCCTGATTGGTTAATCACCCTGTCAAATATTCTGATGACGTAATAGACATCTTTTTTTTTTTTTACACTCCACGTGAACTTGAGTGACCTTAGGGGAAATCATTACACACCTGTCAGATTATACTGTAACTTACAGCATTTCTTAAAATAGCAACACTTTTTTTCAGTTACCGATAATTATTTAAAATATTAAGTAGATTAATGATTTTTTGTTTGCTTTATTGGATTAATTTTACGGTAGTAGAAATGCGGTAGTAGAAATGTGTATCTGTGTGGGAAAGGGATTAGGTAAGTAGATAACTTGGAAAAATGCTATATAGGGAAATGGATAAATTCAAGACAGCGTTTTTTTTCTCTACTTTGGGAATGGTGCCGGTACCAGACTGATTTGGAAAAAATGCGTTATTTTGACTAAAATTGGGAATTTTTTTAATGCATTTTTTCAGCTACAAATGAGATTAGACATCATGAATAAAGATAGCTAACAGCTTCTACTGTCTAGATAGAACTATTGAGTGGTGATTTATATGAATATGTTGGATTTAAATGATTTTAGAAAAATCACTTTGCCTTGTGGGCATTTTGAACAGTCATTTTGGGAATTTAACATTGGAAATTGGGAATTTTAATGTCTATTTTCTATTGGGAATGGTACCGTTTTAGGGTAGTAGTTATATAAAGAAAAAAACACTGCAAGAATATGCATAATTACAGGGGAATGGGCAACCTGTTGCTGTTGGTACCAGTTTTGTCTGGATGACTAAATAACATACAAAATAAGTCTGGGACAGATATTAGATGTGCCTTTGGCCCTTTGCTGACAATTTTCCTGTGCCCTTCTCATTTTTTAGCGCCAATGTATTTCACCATTGTAGGCGATTCACTCTCATGCAAAATGGACGCTCTGATTGGCTAATGCCGATAATGGGCGGTTACTGATTGCAAGCAACAATTGCTTGAGATTTAACGTTTCAAGCAAATGGGGGATTAGTCTTGCACCTGTTATCATCGGAAATTAAATTATTCAACTGAAGAAATTGAAAAATTATTCAACTAATGAAAATAAAGTAATCAAACGGTACATAGAAATCCCTTGTCGTGATATTTTGGATTATAAACTACCTGATTTGCATGCGTCAAATTGAACGCACATATTTTGAAACTGTGAGTCTTTTTCGATTTTTATGCGTATTTTACGCAAGACGCACATCTAGATTAATCACTGCATATTAAAATCCCCCTCCTATTGCATTTTCCCCCTCCAAAGGGCACCGACCCCCTTCCCCCAAAAGTGAAAAAAAACACTGGTTTAGATATTGAGCATGAAACATCTTCTAGTGAGTGTCTACAAACTTTGTTCAAATAAATGCCCTGGGGTCAAAACTGGCCCCGCCCCAGGGGTGTCATTGTTTTTAACTATATGTGTATAGTAAAAACTTAAAATATCTGCTTTTAAAAAACCCAATGAGCTAGAGCTTAGATGTTTAGCAAAGGTCATTGTTTTTCATTATATGCGTGTAGTAAAAACTTAACATCATGAAACATCTTCTAATGGGTGTCTTCCAAGTTTGTTCAAATAAAAGACCTGGGGTTTAAACTGGCCCCCCTCTGGGGGCCTATATACAGGTGAGCGACCTCAGGGCCATCATGGCCCTCTTGTTTTCTCTACTTTTGGAATGGTGCCGGTCTTAGACTGATTGGGAAAAAATGCATTATTTTGACTTAAATTGGGCTATTTTTTTGTGATGCACAATTATGCTGCCTGACAAATTATTTTGTAAATGATTTTTAATATTTCAGACGTCTTCCGGAGATGTCAGTCCATCAACTACACCATGTGGAACCCCATTAAGTGGAGCACCTAAATTTGGAACAGTTATACCAAACAGAATATTTGTAGGTGGAATTGCAGCTAATGTAAGTTGGAAGATAAGTGTTCCTTTTATCTTGTTTTCATATTTTTAATTTATGGAATATTTGTCCCTAAAATTTTGGGAAACATCTTTTTTGCCTTCCTTGTCCCAGGGATCACGCTAGCCCTAAATTTTAGGGAGAAGTGACTTCTCCCTCCAGTGAAAATAGGGAGAAGTTTTTGGGGAAAAGGGGAAGTGGATACAAATTGCATCCAGAGATCTGCCAAGAATTTGAAAGTACTGGGCCCTGGGCCCACTTGGTCTGAAAATGATGGGCCATTTTTACCAAAGTATGGGCCTTGGGAAAATAAGTAAACATTGACCAAAATAACTGTTAAAAAGTTTGTAGATACATGTAATTGAATTTCCCCGGTAATAAAACTTAAATCATATTTTATGACAAGTGGTTCACTTTATAAATTCAGTACTTTACCAATAATTAAAAATTATGCCTACATGGTAACTTTTTAAACTTATATTAATTGCAGGCAAAAATGAAAATATTTTATTAATGGCTGCTCAAAAATTTGATATGCAAATTTATTCACATAATTGCTGGTTCTTACTTGTAATGTCTTATATTGTGCATTATCAATTTAATTGTTCCTACTTTGCACCAAAAATGTCCCTTACCACTGTATATTGACGAATTTTATTGCCCCTTGTATGCCTCTGTGTAGACAGCATACATCAAAGACATTTGCCGACAGACCTTTTGATCATAAAAAAGTCATGCACAATGTTTCTCTGATTGGTTAAATCACCCTGTCAAAACATTCTGATGACGAAATATACATCTTTTTTTACACTTCATCCAGGCCAAAACTTGCGTGAACTTGAGTGACCTTAGGGTTCATCAAGTTGAACACCTGTCAGATTATACTGTAACTTACAGCATATCTTAAAATAGCAACACTTTTTTTTCAGTTACCGATAATCATTTTTAGCTCGACTTTTTTTTTTGAAAAAAAAATAGAGGTATTGCTACAGTCAGGTCGGCGTTGCCGTTGCCGTTGCCGTTGCCGTAGCCGTTGCCGTCCGAAAACTTGTACCTGGATCATAACTTTTTTATTTCTTTGTGTATTGTCTTCATACTTGGCCACAACAACCCTTGGGACAAGACCTTTCAGTAGACCACACTAACCTTGACTTTCATCCATAAATGACTTTGACCTTCAAGGTTAAAAGTCCAATTTCTGCTTGTTCATGCTGTTATTGGCTGTAACTTTGTTATTTTTGAATGGATTGTCTTCAAACTTGAACATAATAATCTTTAAGGATATCCCTTAAAAATAACCAGGTAGACCTTGACCTTCACTCATAAATGACCTTGACTTTGAAGGTCAAATTATTGAAATTTTCATTTTTTTTGCTTTTATTGGCTGTAAGTTTGTTAGTTTTGAATGGATTGTCCTGAAACTTGAACATAATAATCTTCAAAGATTACTGTTAAAGATATACCGAAAGACCTTGACCTTCACACATTAATGACATTGTCTTTGAAGGCCAAATTATTGAAATTTTCATTGTTTTGGCGGTCACTGACTGTAACTTTGCTATTATTGAAGGGATCAACCTCATATTATAAGAGAACATTCTTAAGGACCAGACCTTGTTGTTTATCAAACCCAACTTTGCTTGGGCTCTTAAATGACCTTGACCTTGAAGGTTAAATTACTGAATTTTCTCAGATTTGTGCATTAAATGACCATATTTAAATATTTATTGGTGTGTGTGTGTCTATACATATATATTTACAACAACAACAGCAATTTATAGAATTGCGTCATTGTTTCTATTTATAGAATTGCGTCATTGTTTCTATTTAGAGAAATTGGGTCATTGTTTTTTTTTTTATAGAAATGCGTCATTGTTTCTATTTTTAGAGATTGCATAATTTTTTCTATTTTATTGCGTCATTGTTGCTATTTATAGAAATTGCGTCATTGTTTCTAATTTTAAAGATTGTGTCATTTTTTCTATTTTTAGAAATTGCGTCATAATTTCTATTTTTAGAAATTGCGTCATTGGTGCTATTTTTAGATATTGCGTCATTTTTTCTATTTTTAGAAATTGCGTCATTTTTTCTATTTTTAGAAATTGCGTCATAATTTCTATTTTTAGAGATTGCGTCATTTTTTCTATTTTTAGAAATTGCGTCATAATTTCTATTTTTAGAAATTGCATCATTGGTGCTATTTTTAGAAATTGTGTTATTGTTGCTATTTTTAGAAAATGCGTCATTGTTTCTAATTTTAGAGATTGTGTCATTTTTTCTATATTTAGAAATTGCGTCATAATTTCTATTTTTAGAAATTGCGTCATTGGTGCTATTTTTAGAAATTGCGTCATTTTTTCTACTTTAAGAAATTGCGTCATAATTTCTTCTTTTAGATATTGCATCATAATTTCTATTTGTAGTATTTTTAGAAATTGCGTCATTTTTTTTCTTTTTTTAGAAATTGCTTCATTTTTTCTATTTTTAGAAATTGCGTCAATTTTTCTATTTTAGGAAATTGCATCATTGTTGCTATTTTTAGAAATTGCATCACTTTTTTATTTTTAGAAATTATGTCATTTTTTGTATTTTTAGAAATTGCGTCATTTTTTCTATATTGAGAAATTGCGTCATGTTGCTATTTTAAGAAATTGCGTACTGTTGCTATTTTTAGAAATATGCTTAATGTTTCTATTCATATATATACAAAATATATAAAGAAAACTAATGTGACAAGACAGACCAACTAAATTTATAAAAAGGAAACGTTAATATATGTTCAAACCTTTCTATGTTTGCGTTTAGAAAAAGTAAAAAGTCGAGCGTTGCCCCCGCCCGGCGGTGGCTCTTGTAAATATTATGTTTTTGTATAATTTGTTTGTTTGTTTTATTGGATTAAATTTACGGTAGTAGAAATGAGTATCTGTGTGGGAAAGGGATTATGAGAAGAAATGCGGTAAGTAGATAACATGGACAAAAGCTATAGGGGAATGGATAAACTAAAGAATATGCGTAATTACAGGAGCATGGGTAACATGTTGCTGTTGGTACCAGTTTTGACTGGATGACTAAATAACCCAGCAGACAGTTTTGTTTTCTTTTAAGTCTGGCACAGATTTTAGATGCGCCCATGGCCCTTTGCTGCCGATTTTCCTGCGCCATTCTCATTTTTTTAGCGCCAATGGCGCAAAATCGCGTCCTCAGCAGATCTCTGGCATCTTTTGAAAGTGTTGATGTTCCACTTATTTAGATACAGTAAAATGCCACCTAACGACCACGCCACAAATAGGACCACGCCGTTATTACGGGCACTTTTTAAAAGTACAAAATATTTGCCTTCTTTATTCATTGAGAAAAATGACCAGTATACCGACCACGTCTCTAATCCGGCATAACGACCACTTCTGTCCGACATTTGTGTGTATTTCTTATCAAAACATTAACCTGACTATTACGACCATGCAACATAATGGCCAGACATCACTTTGTGTTTATTGCCCCCCATTAATTGTCGTAATCTTCCCCTCTGGCGTAAACAAATACACCGGGTCAAATGAGGTCATTAATATATATCGATTGATTAGACGCTTGCTTAACGATGTATCTTTAGCATTCAAGCGTCAACATGATCAGTTTAAACCACTTCTGGCTAATTAATCTAAGCAGCTATGGTGTGAGAAACGATTAATTTGTCAGCGTAATTAGGATGTAATAATCAGGTAAATAGCATTTAAGATTGTTTGTTGTGGATCACAATTTATAGCAAGTATGGTAAAAATTGATAATTGCACCAAATTATCAGTTCATGTGTGCTTTATATTTCGATATGTAATTAATGTATAAATCATAATGAGAGTTATAACTATATTTAATACCTCATATTTTTCTTCTAAAGGGGAGACTTAACACACTAGATTAATATTTTTCATCATATTTTAAATTAATGATGTATCATATTATCATGCATTAAAAAATGTTTTTTGTTTAAAAAATATGTGTTTTTGACTTTTTTACTTATTTAATTACCAGTTTTTGGGGGTCACCTGCCCCCCAATTATAAACCATAAACTATTTTAATATTTAAACAGGAGTGGTACATCTATTACAACGATAAAAATGGTTTTCAAACAATTTTTACTAGGGATGGCAACGAGTAACCGGTTAACCGAGTACTCGATCGAACGTCCGAATATCGGTTAACAAAATTGATAATCGATTACTCGGAAAAAAATATTCAATTTCTACTTTTTTGCGATTTAGAAAGATTAGTTCAGAAATTCGGAAATGTGCACGTATCTATATAAATACTTGTTAAATGCAATCAAAACATCCTTGCAGAGGTGTGAAAATGATATCGTAAATTTAACGAGACGATCAGCAGTTTGACACGCGTATGGGATTGAACACAGTCCTGTGTCGTTTACGTCATTCGGCCTCTTATAATATTTAACCGCCTTTAAATATTAGACAGTTTGTAGCCGAAACTTGTTAATTATAAAAACGTAAATATATACGGAATATTATGTTGTGCTACGAGCAGCGATGGAAAAATTGATATCTCGCGATATCAATTTTCCAACATTGCGAGTAGAAAAATGCATAGGCTCAGAAAGCTTCTACGACATAATTTTCTTTTTATTATATACCTTTTCGTTTGAATTATAAATGATTTTCATTATACTACACTATAAGAAATTTCAGAAAATGAAATGTAGCTGTCAAGAAGTAAATTTATGACCGACGGATGAATACGTAATTTTTGCAAAACCGGTCACGCCTTTTATAATTTTGGTTTCCGTTTTAAATGCTACGATTATACAAAGCTAAGATCGGAACCAATGTCAAAAATAGTCCGGCACTTCCATATATGGTACCGTATTTGTCAATTTCTATCCGTTAATTGAAGCGTATTTGCGTTCATCCTGTATTTTAGGGAGAAAATTTATAGGTATATAAGAAATGCTGTCATTGACATTTCTTATGTTTATATTTATATATTTCTTGCAGTCCTATTTATAGTTACAAATTCTATGAATTAAAATAGAAAACGAAAGTAGCATACAGACGGTGTTGATATTGATTGTGTGATAAAACTTTAAAGATCATTTAAATCATCCGAGTAACCGAGTACTCGATCGGAAAAATGACCGAGTACTCGAGTATTGATTTTGGTATTCGTTGCCATCCCTAATTTTTACGTATATGAAAAAATACCCGTATACCATCAAGTCTCAATAAAGTCAGTGATTTTTCTCACTTAATTGGGAAGAGGCCTGAGCCTCTTGATTTTGGGAAAAATTATCGCTAAAATTTGCTTATTTGGGAAGTAAAAAAGCTGGTTTAAGTTCAGATTTTTGGGAAAACTGCATGATTTTAAAGAAAATTTCAATTGGGAAGAGGCCTTTTTTCGGAGTCTGTTATATAAGTAGAAAAATCACTGAAAGTAAAGATTGCAGACTCCAAAATGTAAACACGATCACCCTTGTATAATAAAACCGTTATAAATCATTATTAAATGAACCTTACCGTGACTTTTCCGGTGTAAATCAATAGAAAATAGAATTATCTCCTAGATGCAATCAGAATAAACATTTATACAGCTCATTGTAATATTGAAAATCAAACATTTAATTAAAACTGAAAGTAAATTTTGCGTTCTGTCCAACCAATACGAGAACCTGACCCCGGCTCTGCGTAGAGCGCTTGTCAAGCCGGTATCCAAACGGTGTACATGCTTTCGACTAAGATATCTACTCGAGCATTATATCCTCATCTTCCCGCGTATTAGCTGTCTTCAAACGCTCGTTTTAAAAGACATTTATTGTAATAAAAACTATTACCAATGATGCACAGTGTGTTGTTTTCCCAAGTTTTATTTTTAATTCTATATAATGCCACAATTTGAATATTTTGAATTTGGACATGAGATATAATGCTCGAGTAGTAGATATCTAGTCGAAAGCATGTACACGTTTGGATACCGGCTTGACAAGCGCTCCACGCAGAGCCGGGCTCAGGTCTCGTATTGGTTGGACAGAAGCAAAATTTACTTTCGGTTTTAATTAAATGTTGATTTTCATTATTACAATGAGATGTAAAAATGTTTATTCTGATTGCATCTAGGAGATAATTCTATTTTCTATTGATTTACACCGGAAAAGTCACTGTAAGGTTCATTTAATAATGATTTATAAAGGTTTTATTATACAAGGGTGATCGTGTTTACATTTTGGAGTCTGCAATCTTTACTTTATTGAGACTTGATGGTATATGGTATTTTTTTATATACGTAAAAATTGTTTGAAAACCTTTTTTATCGTTGTAATAGATGTCCAATTCTTGTTTAAATATTAAAATAGTTTTGGCAGAGTGTTTACAGGGGCGGATCACGTTGGGGGACAGGATCTGACCCCCAAGCGTCTGTGATCTGACAGTACCATCCCTAGTTGTGCATATCGCCGGCATGTTCTGCTTCCCTACACAAAATGGCCACTAGAGCTATAAATAGAAAAATTTTGTCTGGCTTTCACTTGTCAAACTGCTGGTGGGATTTTGACATTTCTACACAGGAGTGATCAGTACCATTCCTAGTTGTGCATGTCGCCGGCATGTTTTTCTTTGCAGCACCAAATGGCTGACAGATCAATATACAGAAATAGCCTGTTTTCCTTTCACTGGTCAAACTGCTGGCGGTATTTGACCAAACTTTACAGGAGTGATGATCTAATCAGTACCATACCTGGTTGTGGGAGACAAAATTTTGAAAACCCCTTCTAGTTGTTCTTACTTTTGTTATAACTCGCACCATGCATGACAAGGGTCATAACTAGCATCTTTATTTCAAAAGTTATTTCCTCTTTGATATCAGGGCCCTCAATCCAATTTGGGGGAAGTGGGTCGCTACCCTCAGCAGGGGGAATTTTAGTGTATGGGGGTAATTTTCCTCTTTTCTTTTATGATCAAATATCAAATAAACTTTTTTAAATATAAGCTGTTTTTTATTTACTTGCATATTATTTAAAAAAAAAAAAATCCCAAATAGGTAACACTTAACTGTTCAGAAGTGATTGATAAGATTTTGAAGAAAAGTTTCTTAACACCTTCACACCATCAGATTTTATGATTCACTGCCCCCCCCCCCCCCCCCCCCCCCCCCCCCCCCCCACCTCCAAATCAAATAAGCATTGGGAGAAAACACATTCAGACAAATGTCTTTATTTCCACTAATATGAACAGTTTATGGACCTAAAGTATATTCTATTCATAAACTACATTTCTACTGTTCTAACACTTCCTTTTCTTGACTTTGTAAAACAATCGTAAAAATCGGCATCGCGAAAATATGTGACAAATGAAAATTTGTTGTTTTCTGTTTACACATCCACAATTCTAGTGGTTGCTGATGTAAATTATATAAAATTAAATTGATTGTTAATTATAAGATCGTTTTCCATCAGTTATTTCATAAAGTATTGTGGCCAGACGCCCTTTTCTAAGTCTGACCACTCGGGGAATTAGCTTTAAATCTTAACTTCACAATTGCTTTTGAAATTTATATAACAACAAACTTTAATGTCCACATTCAGTTTCTTTTATTCCGTATGATTTGCTAAATCTTTTACATCAGTCCACCTTATTATTAATTAACTATTATCTATTACAATATCAAATTAAATCCTTTTATTCACTTCTAATCTTTCTACTCAATGTATTTTCTTTTCTTATCCTAACCTTCTTAACCTAGACTTAAACCTAAACTGACCTAACTTTCCCCCCAAATCTGTATGTCCCAAAATTCTATCTAAACCAAAGTATCTGCCCCCTTTTTGAATTTATCCAATCAAATAATATATTTCTTATCTTTAACCTGTCTATCATAATTAATATTACATTATCACATGTGCATTTGACCAGCTTCTAATCTTTTTACATCAAAGGATTTCACACCTAAGTGATATTGCTTTGAGAAGCTGAAGAAGCAGACCAAAACTAATTTCAGTCTATCCCCCTCAGCTTTCCAAAGAACCAAAATATGTTATTAGATCACATATTAGCATAATATTAGGTTGATCATAAACAAAAAACAAAATATTGCCTGGCTACAGTATCATGAAAACAAAACTTGCAAACAAGTTTGTAATTTACGGCAAAATTTACCGTGGTTGATGTAACATTTTGAAAACAAAAAAAATTATTTCATGAATAAACAATTTGAAATCAAAATTGTGATTTTTTCTGCATATTTCTGTTGAAATTTTAGCATTTTTACAGGATGAAAGGCCAATATGTTACGTAGATTTTGGGGGCAAAAACAAACGGAAATGTGCCGACATGTACTGTACGATATTCTGCTTACAAATTTAATAGCCGTCAAATAGATGGATTTTAATTTTCAAAACCAACATTAGTTTTCATTTTTTCTTTTACACTTTATATGTTTTGAGGGGGATTTTTTACCTCTGTTAGGGGGAAAAAAACATACTATTTTGGTGGGGGACTGCGGCCGATTGTTGGCCGCAGATTTGGTTGATCGAGGGCCCTGGATATTATATATGTTTTCCTTATATGTATATAATGAAATTCATGAGTCATTTGCTACAAGGGTTGGAGCTCAGATTTTTAGCATGAAACATTGTCTACTGAACCGCTATTAACAGTATTTAATTATATATTTCGGGTCAAATTGGCCCTGCAAGAAGATTCAATAGCTGGGATTTTGTCTTAAATAAGGTCATGGCCTAAGAGAAGTGAACATTAGTTTTCAGAGAATCTTAGGAAATGAGTTGAGGTCATGACTTTTAGGCTTCAGCAAGAGATATGCTTGCCTTGCAGGGATATTTATGAAATGACCTAGCACACTATGGTTCACATCATGTATATAATTGATTAAATGTTTGTTTTGAGAAATAGGTTATGCTTAAATGAAAAGACAAAATTTAAGAAAAATAACTAACTGTATTTCAAAGTTTAATACAGCTTTGTAATGCAGTAAATAACAAAATTCTATCAAGTAAGAAGACTTATTTTGAAACAAATATTATACTAAGGCCTTTGCATCTTAACATTATTGTATAGAGAAAAAAGTGGCGATTTTGACTTACTGAGATTCAACTGAACTGTATATCTTATTCACGTCAACTTGACAACAAAAAAAGAGCATAATGTCACTTAAAAGGAAACAAATCATGGCTACTTCCCAATTATTTTAGATAGTCAGTGTTAATAAGAATAAAATGGTTGGATAATGGTTTGCAACATTGACTTCTTTTTGCTTGTTTTCCAGACAACAGAACAGGAGCTCAAACAGTTTTTCTCAGCATATGGTGCAGTAAAAGATTCCAAAATTATAGCAGATAGGGCAGGGGTTTCCAAAGGGTAAGTTGAATACTTGGCACAACAAGGATATTTGTAAGGCTGCTGGTCACATTATTACACAGGATTATAAGACAAGGCTCTATCAAAAGAAAGATGAGGATTGGCATGTCTGCAGATGAGCCAAAATATTTAAAGAAAGTCAAATGTGAGAAAAATGTACTAAGACTTTAAGGAAAGTATAAAGATTCAAGACAGTGTTCCCATTCATGCACATGTTTACTTGTATTTCCTTGAAATCATTGAAGTTCAGGTACAATAGTAAAAAAGTTATTGAAGGTAAATTGGCACTATTAATCTGATTGTGTTTCCGTGACAGTCATAAGATTAAAGCCAATATGGAGAATGTTAGTTACTACAGTCTTCGCCTTAACATTTTATCAGCACTAGCCCAGTCGGGCTAGCAGCTTACAAATTTCACTAGCCCGAACACATTTTAACTAGCCCGAACCAAAATGGTATTTTTTGCATGCATTATGTACAGAAATAACACTTTCTATATGTTTTATATACCATTTAACATTATTAAAATATCAACTTATCAACTTTTCTTCCTTTCATTATTTAAATAAGAAGAGTTTAAACTATATATGAAAAGGAGATATTTTGATATTTCTGTGGCATTGTCCACAGACACTGAAAAAAAAATGTTTAAAAACTGAAAATACTCTTCTCCTCGTTTACTGTAACCATGTCTGCTGATACATGCATTGACAACATATTCATATTCCTTTTCGTATTACTTTTATTATTTTTTTTTAGCTCACCTGTCACAAAGTGACAGGGTGAGCTTTTGTTATCGCTTTTCGTCCGGCGTCCGTCCGTCCGGCGTCCGTCCGTCGTCCGTCCGTCGTCCGTCCGTCCGTAAACTTTTGCTTTAAATGACATCTCCTCATAAACCACTGAGCCAATTTCATCCAAACTTCACAGGAATGTTCCTTTGGTGGTCACCTTTAAAAATTGTTCAAAGAATTTAATTCCATGCAGAACTCTGGTTGCCATGGCAACCAAAAGAAAAATCTTTAAATATCTTCTTTTAAACAACCCTAAGAGCTAGAGCTTAGATATTTGGCATGAAACATCTTCTAGTGAGTGTCTACCAAGTTTGTTCAAATAAAAGCCCTGGGGTCAAAATTGGCCCCGCCCCAGGGGGTCATTGATTTTCCCTATATGCATATAGTAAAAACTTAAAAAATCTTCTTTTAAAGAACCCAAAGAGCTAGAGCTAAGATATTTGGCATGAAACATCTTCTAGTGAGTGTCTACCAAGTTTGTTCAAATAAAAGCCCTGGGGTCAAAATTGGCCCCGCCCCAGGGGGTCATTGATTTTCCCTATATGCATATAGTTAAAACTTAAAAACATCTTCTTTTCTAAAGAACCTAAAGAGCTAGAGCTAAGATATTGGCATTAAACATCTTCTAGTGAGTGTCTACCGAGTTTGTTCAAATAAAAGCCCTGGGGTCAAAATTGGCCCCGCCCCAGGGGTCATTGATTTTTCCCTATATGCATATAGTAAAAAACTTAAAAAAATCTTCTTTTTAAAGAACCCAAAGAGCTAGAGCTAAGATATTTGGCATGAAAACATCTTCTAGTGAGTGTCTACCAAGTTTGTTCAAATAAAAGCCCTGGGGTCAAAATTGGCCCCGCCCCAGGGGGGTCATTGATTTTCCCTATATGCATATAGTAAAAACTTAAAAAAAATCTTCTTTTAAAGAACCCAAAGAGCTAGAGCTAAGATATTTAGCATGAAACATGTTCTAATGGGTGTCTACCAAATTTGTTCAAATAAAAGCCCTGGGGTCAAAATTGGCCCCGCCCCGGGGTCATTGATTTTCCTTATATGTGTATTGGGCAAAAACTTAAAAATCTTCTTTGAAAAAACCCATATAGCTAGAGTTTAGATATTAAGCATGAAACATCTTCTAATCAGTGTCTACAAAGTTTGTTCAAATAAAAAGACCCGGGGTCAAAATTGGCCCTGCCACGGGGGTCATTGATTTTCCCTTTTTTGTGTATATTAGCAAAAACTTTGAAAATCTTCTTTGAAAAAACCCATATAGCTAGAGTTTAGATATTAAGCATGAAACATCTTTTAGTAAATTTCTACAAAGTTTGTTCAAATAAAAGCCCCGGGGTCAAAACTGGCCCTGCCCCAGGGTGTCATTGTTTTTAACTATATGTGTATAGTAAAAACATAAAAAATCTTCTTTTAAAAAACCCAATGAGCTAGAACTTAGATGTTTAGCATGAAACATCTTCTTATGGGTTCTACCAAGTTCTGTTCAAATAAACAAATAAAAGCCCTTGGGTAAAAATTGGCCCGGGGGGGGGGGGGGGGGCTATATACAGGTGAGCGACCTCAGGGCCATCATGGCCCTCTTGTTGGTGTGTTCCTTTTTGGCTTAGTGCCTTCAAAATACAAGGGAAAAGACATATTGTGAAGCATGAGATGACACCTAATAAATGTCTAACAATCAATAATATTTCATAAGCGTTTTAAGTTCAATAAAGCTGCTAATAATTTTTAGGGCCAAGGTGGTTTACCCTTCAAAATCTAGAGTAAAATGAAAATTCTGGGATAAAATTTATAAAAATAATTTGCATTGTTTTGTTATCAAATTTCACTGCCTTCTAAAAAGTTCCTTTCTTTACATAAATCAGACTGACTTATATTATATAATAAAATATTGATTCAATGTGAAATAATACAAAACTTGCTCTGTTAAGGCAGGCTTCCCTGGACTAGGGTTTGTTTAGGTTACACAGCAAATTAATGACAAGACTCATTTTTTTGATTCGCCGTTTCATTTTTAGTATCCAATCAAATTCTAGATACATACAACTTTCGATGATCTTGTACTCGGAAGAAAATGTCGGTGTTACTGCATTATTAAATTATTACGTTGGCGCTACGCTAGGCAAATAACGTAAATTATCTAATGAAGGAAAAAAGCGAAAAAAAAGAAATACGAGTCCAGGCGCCTGCCGAGAAAATTTGTAGGTAAATGGAAAAATGGCCGCTCGTAGTTGGTTTTTAACGAGGAAGAAAATAAGATGAAATGTACATTGTGTCATAAATTTTATAAAGATCATAAAAAAAAAAATTATGATGATGATGATGATTTTGATCATGAATGTTTAAATTTCCAGACAGAGTCCATCAATCTGGATAAACTGATGTTTTATTTAAGAGAATAAAATTGTGTTGCCAATCTTTAAAAGTTCCTGTGTCTTTAAAAAAACACAAAAGTATTACCATATACATATATTTGGAAAAAAAATTCGGTCAGACAAGAATTGAAAGTTTGTCTGACCGAATGTCAGGCAAATGTTTCAGCAGTTTCGCGAAGCCTCAGACATAGCTTAAAAAGTATTTACCTAGAGTCGTAAAACTTTACAGGCATGTTGCTTAGCATGTGAAGTTGTGTGCCTTGAGTTTCGCTTGTGGATTTAGGCTTTTTCCAATTAGAATTATTGCCCTTGACTTAGTAAAAAATTGCAATTTTCAACTTGTCATACAAAGCTCAAATCATTGTCTGGGACAGAACTCAGAAACCATAAGAGATATCAACAAAAAACTTTGTAGGTAGATTAATCTCATTGGGTAGATGAGCAGTAAAAAAGAATTCTTGGAAAATCGCCCGGTTCAGCCGGTTGTTGTTAAATATGTTTTGAAGATCAGCGTGAATCTGGAGGCATGTTGCTGTAAAAGTGGCAGCATCAGCATGTTTGACCAAGGTTCCACAGGTCTTGGAAAATGCATGAAAATGGTCTGTCTTGAAAAGTGCTTGAATAGAGTATGTCCTTAAAAAGGGTTTGATTTTGACAGGACCACTTTTGTGAACGATGTAAATCTCAATCTCTGAGTTTTCTACCATCAACTGTTAGATTATATATATTTAGACTGTACCGTCTTTCAGATTTGTTCAGTGATTGTCGCTATTATAGTAAGCCAGTGAATAATAGCGTTACATATACCGACCAATCGTAACATAGCATCTTTCTGTAGTTGAAGAAAGAAAAACAAATAGCCGATTAGCAAAAGTGGTATTTGGTAAAAAAAAATTTATAGATAAAGCACTAAAAAGAAATAAATTCTAGATCTGAAAGGATGAAAATCCAGGAGCTTCCTGCATTGGGCCCTTGGCAGCCCCCATGACTCCCCTTTTTATCAAATTAACTTGGCATCTTTGTTTTTTTAGTAAGAGTGCAAAGTGTTCCACGTTATTGGTATAGGTAGGCAAGTATACAACATCGCTTTTTACGTTTCTGGTTTTCAGTCTGTAAACCTTGAAAACTTTGGTAAAAAAATGAAAAAATATGAATTCCTGTTAAAGTTGCTTCAAGATTATTATTTGGGAACAAAATAAAGGGATGTTTAAAATGCTTATTTTGCTGAGTACTGTCTGGTAACATTCTGGTCAGGATTATTAGTGAGAGATTCTCATTTGGCAAATTTAATGAGAGAAATTTGATTTTCTTGAGAGATTTAATTTTCAAGATGTGCAAGATTAAAAATATGGAAATTTTTAACTTTTTGAATAACAGTAAATACAAAAATTGATTTTCAAATGATGAAATAAATACATCTGCATTTATTTCACTTTTTTAGAACATCCCAGTTTTTTGTATTATGAATTTTTAAACCTAATTTAATATGATTTAACATAATAAAATTCTAATTGTGAAAAATAAGTATTACACCTTAATTCTGAAATATAAAAGAATTATACATGCAGATCTACTTGAACAGTGAAATGCACACAATGTTCCAAATGGGCAACACTGTACTGTACAGAGGAGGTTGATGAGATTTGAAGAATATCTTTTTTAAACATGTGCCGTTTTCTTTATGATTCTCTCCACACACCCCCCTCCCTTAAAAAATATTCATTGAATATTATATGTGACCAACACATACTGACAAATATCTCCATATCTACAAATACAAACAATACCTAAAGTAATTTTTATTTTATAAACTTCATTGTTATAACACACCTTTTAATAAGATTCGGCTTTCATTTAACTTTTAACTGCCTTGTAGCTTATCTTATAAATAAATTAAAATGTTTTGCAGGTATGGATTCATCACTTTTGAAAATCAGGAAGATGCTGACCGGATTATCAAAAAGGAGGTGAGTGTAGAAGTGAGTGTCCACTTTTGTCTTCTTTATTTTGTTACAACCTTGATAATTGATTATAAAAAATAAATGCTTTTATAATATCTACATGTTAATTTATTAAAAGTAAGTTGACATTAAAACTTTCTTTGATGGTGATAACACAAACTAATTCCATAATAATAATTTGTGTCGGTTTTGAAGTTCTGATTTATTTATTTGACAAATTGTTTTAAAAATACACCTTTTAAACATTTTCAGTCTGATAATCTTGTGTTTAGAGACAGGAAGCTCAATATAGGACCAGCAATTAGAAAGCAGGTTTGTATATTGCATGATTTATTTGATGTGAAGTTGGAACATTCTTAGTAGGACTTCCACACCCAAGTTTGTCAATGTTTTGAACAGTTTGGCAGATTCTGTTGATTGACCGGTTTTCAAATTCTCCAGTTAAGTTTATTTTTCATGCACTGACTAATAAAGTTGTATCAAAATAGAACCAAGAGAATATCTGTTACCAAGACAAGGTTTATTTTCATTGAATTGTCAGATGCAGATATTTACTAAATTTGCATTAGATGACACTTTTTCTCTTGGAACCAGCAAAGTTTTGACATGTAGTGAATTAAGAATTGCAAAATATTTTTTTAAGGCTCCCAGATTTACATGATTCAATAAAACAATATGCAAATTCAAAGCAATTTGATTAAAATCAGCTCCTAATTAACACTATACATTTGGATCAGGCACCAAGAGGGTACATGGCTTAAAATAGCTTCCTCTGGAAATCCAAATCACAATGAAGGCAAAACAAATGCGGTGGCAATCGGATCTGCATGCAAGAAATAACTTAAGTAAATCTGAACTACGGACATGTTTCTAGTTTAACTTCTGTACCTTCCATGAAGTAAACGTGTTTAGAATAGTGCAATTTACCCTAAAATTCAATTAAAATCGAGTTTTTATCCCAGTTTTACAATCATTTTCCCAAAGATAATGGAATAGGGGCCTTTATGTTGAAAAAAGCTCTGGTTAAGTAGGTGTAATACAAATGTAGGAAAAATAAGCTTACTTGATTTTCAACATTTTGAAAATTTTGTTAATCTGGGAGTCTTAGATAAATGACAGTTATTGCATGTTTGCCCTATGGTCAGCCTTGTTTAATTCCAATAAAAAATAAGTTTTTATATGTAGGATTTTCTAGAATAAAAAAGAACTTTTTTTCTGCATATTTCTTTGAAAAATATTTCAGTAGAATTTAGTAAAATTCATTGCGGATTATACAGGCAAGGTTTGACCATAGATTTTTAATTATCTAATGATTTGTCCAGGATGTTCAGAATTTAGTTCTCTTACGCATTTACAGTTGTTTGAAGCATAATAATTTTTTGAAAGATGTCATACCTTTTAAGGGCATCAAATGTGGGAAAATAAGACATTAATTACAACCTTTCAGCTTTATATGAATTTTGAAATTCTTTTTTTTTATCAAACTGGATATGTAGAACTATTTCAGTGGGTAATATATATGAAGAAAAAAAGTCTGAATTTAGATGCACTGAAGATGCCCTAAAAATGTACATGTTATATTGTTGAAATACAAACTTAATGCATTTACCTTTTGTTGTAGATAACCTTTACCTTTACTACTACAAATCCATTTCCTGTATTGTTCTATTATAATATTTATTGTCTTTACTGTTGGAAAGAATATTGCAAAATCTTAATTTTTCATGTGTATATAATTTTGGAACAAAATCAAATAGAAAAGAAACAAAACTAAAACACATTACAAATGTATAACAGTGAAATGGAAGTAAGACATGAAAAGGATGCACATCTCTATTTTAATTTGAATCAGCCTCTTTCATGGGTGTTTCTTTCCTAACAATGTATGATAAGAAACCACTTGGACCCACTGATTTTAATAAGTATTGGTAGTGGAATGGTTTTTCTTTACAGTAAATATCTTAAGATGATATTTTGATGATGGTATTATTAAAAATAAATGGTAGCAATGACATGTCGGTGAAAAAATATTTTTGCTCTTCCATGACTGCTTTGTGTTGGCCTTAATTCTACCATGTACTTTATTTTTGATGAGACTTGTCCAAGAATAATTTTAAAATCATAAAAGAATATCTACTTTTTACTTTCAAAGCCCCGAAAGATTTTTAGAAGAGATGTGAATCTTTTACATTGACACAGTTGGCAAAATTTGTTAACTGAAATAAACTGATATTTTGGGAATTACAATACATTGTTACAAATGTTTAATGGTTTTTGAAAGGGGTGAGGGAGAGGTCAATTTTAATATTGAAAATTGCCAACTGTCATTAATGAAGTTAAGATAGGTGTAATAAAACTGCAAGTCAGTAATGTTACATCTTGCTCATTTTGAGCATTTTGGTTTGTGCATGTATTTTCATGTTAATCTAACAAAGTTATTTCCCATTTCATTTGCAGCAAGTTTTGCCAAGGGCATTTGGTAAGCCTCTTTGTTTTTAAATATTTTTTGTTTTAAAGGAATAATTAAAAAAAAAATCATTTAGAATCTGTAGAATTTCTTATTCAATTTTGAAGTTGATACTGTGATTTTATATTCTTTGGTGATTTATTTAAATAAATTTGCATGAATATAACAAGTTGCTGGATTTGCTTAATTTTCAGATTATTGAAAGTTTTAAGGCTGTTAAAGCATTTTAAATTACATTAAATGTTAAACATGGACAATGCTTAAGTTTCTGTTTGCTCCTTCAATTAATTCTTTTTCAACAATTTTCTTAACAATGCGAATAATTTGTCTGTTATTTTGAAGTTTCACCATGAATCATTTTTAGCACAACATTTTTTTCAAAGAGAAAAAAATATAGGTATTATAACAGTCATGGTGGCATTTCCCTTGCTGTCAGCAAACTACAACTTTGATTTATAATATTTTAAGTTGTTGGTGTATTGTCTTCATACTTGACCACAACAACCCTTGGGACAAGACCTTGAAGTAGACAAGATTAAACTTGACCTCCATTCATAGATAACCTTGACTTTGAAGGTCTAATGGACAACTATAACTTTAATATTTTTGAATGGATTGTCTTCAAACTTGAACACAATAAACTCTTGGGGGGAGGGGGGGGGATACCTTTTAAGTTCACCAGACATAACCTGACCTTCAGTCATAAATGACCTTGGCCTTTGATTTATACTTGGACAAAACAAGACTTGCTACCAAACAAATATTGAATGATTTAGGTATGACCTTTAATTGACCTTGACTGTCAAGGTCAATAATGAAATTCACTTGTTATACCCCCAAAAACGAAGTTTGGGGGGGTATATAGGAGTCACCCTGTGGTCGGGCGGGCGGTCGGTCGGTCGGTCCAGACGTCCGTTGCATTTTCCTTGTCCGGAGCATAACTTGAAAACTAATGGTTGGAATTCAATATAACTACATACAATGGTCAAGCACATTGAGAGGAAGTGCAGTGCACAAGAATCATAACTCTATCTTGACTTATTACAGAGTTATTGCCCTTTGTTACTTTTCCTTGTCCGGGGCATAACTTGAAAACTACTGGTTGGAATTCAAAACAACTTCATACAATTGTCAAACACAATAAGGGGAAGTGCAGTGCACAAGAACCATAACTCTATCTAAAGTAATTACAGAGTTATTGCCCTTTGTTGCTTTTCCATTGCTTTTTTTTTTTGACTGTTGCATTTTCCTTGTCCGGAGCATAACTTGAAAACTAATGGTTGGAATTCAATATAACTACATACAATGGTCAAGCACATTGAGAGGAAGTGCAGTGCGTAAGAAACATAACTCTATCTTGACTAATTACAGAGTTATTGCCCTTTGTTACTTTTCCTTGTCCGTGGCATAACTTGAAAACTACTGCTTGGAATTCAAAACAACTTCATACAATTGTCAAACACAATAAGGGAAAGTGCAGGGCACAAGAACCATAACTCTATCTAAAGTAATTACAGAGTTATTGCCCTTTGTTGCTTTTCAAATGCCTTCTTTTTTTGTCCGAAGCATAACTTGAAGACTAATAGTTGGAATTCAATATAACTACATACAATGGTTAAGCACATTGAGAGGAAGTGCAGTGCATAAGAACCATAACTCTATCTAAAGTAATTACAGAGTTATTGCCCTTTATTACTTTTCCATTGCTTTCTTTTGTCCGGACCATAACTTGAAGACAAATTGTTGGAATTCATTATTACTTCATACAATGGTCCAGCATATTGAGAGGAAGTGCAGTGCACAAGAACCATAACTCCATTTTGACTTATTACAGAGTTACTGCCCTTTGTTTCTTTTCCTTGTCCAGAGCATGACTTTAAAACTACTGGTTGGAATTCAAAACAACTTCATACAATGGTCAAGCACAATAAGGGGAAGTGCAGTGCACAAGAACCATAACTCCATCTTGACTAAGTACAGAGTTATTGCCCTTTGTTACTTTTCCTTTGCTTTCTTTTGTCTGGACCATAACTTGAAGACTTATTGTTGGAATTCATTATAACTTCATACAATGGTCAAGCACATTGAGAGGAAGTGCAGTGCATAAGAACCATAACTCCATCTTGACTAATTACAGAGTTACTGCCCTTTGTTACTTTTCCTTGTCCAGAGCATGACTTGAAAACTACTGGTTGGAATTCAAAACATTCATACAATGGTCAAGCACAATAAGGGGAAGTGCAGTGCACAAGAACCATAACTCCATCTTGACTAGTTATAGAGTTATAGCCCTTTGTTACTTTTCCTTGTCCAGAGCATAATTTGAAAACTATTGTTTTGAATTCAGTACAACTTCATATAGTTGTCAAGGACATTCAAAGGAAGTGCAGTGCACAAGAGCCATAAATCCATTTTGACAAAATACAGAGTTACTGCCCTTTGATACTATTCCTTGTCCGGAGCATAACTTAAAACGTACAGGTTGGAATTCAAAACAACTTCATACAATGGTCAAGCACAATAAGAGGAAGTGCAGTGCACAAGAACTATGACTATATCTTAAGTATTTATAAAGTTATTGCCCTTTGTTCTTTTTCTTTGTCTTTCTGGACTTATTACAGAGTGATTCAATTAAACTTCATCAATGGCCAACCACATTGAAAGGAAATGCAACATACATGAACCACAATTATCTTTAATTGCCCACAACCATAACTCTATGTTTCAATTCTTTTACAAGGTATTCTGTTACTAGTAACATCCTCATTTCCGAAGCAGACTTGTGGGGGTATTAATCACATTTAGTGATAGTTCTAGTTTTTCCTGCAACTGGCGATAACTGTTATCAGTAAATGGATTAACTACATATTTAGACACAACATCTTTAAAGTCACAACCTTCATGTATATCAAATTAACCTTGACTGATGTATGACCCTGATCTTGAAGATCAAATTAGTGGATTTTCACTGATTATCACTATATTTGGCTGTAACTTGGAAAATAAACAATGGGTGGCATCAACCTTTTGGAGAAGACTTCGTAAAAGGTTGAACTGACCTTGACCATCAAGATCAGATATTGAATTTTGCTTGTATTTTCTTAACTTTGTCATTTATATATGGAAATGATTCAAATTTTGACAAAACAACAATTAAGTATGACTTTACAGACATACTAAAATAAAAAAAGGAAAACCATATATTTTTTTCTTCTGATCTTTCTTTTTAAACATTTGTTGTATGCTTGAAGAAAAATTAAAAAAGTTGAGCATTGCCCCCTCTGGGCAGTGGATCTTGTTGTGTATAGAAGTAGATGCTTTTATCCATCCCATATCATTACATCTTACATGCATGTTATCATTTTAAACAAGGTGATATTTTGTCTGTAGTTTATTTTGAAAGTTGCCATCTTTCGTTTTTGAAATGCATCTTCAAAAAAAAAAAAAAAAGTAAATGAATTGAGTAATTTTGACTTTAAAATTGTCATATTTAGAATTTCTTTTGGTTACTGATGTTTTTATTTCAAGGAAAACAATTATTATTAGAAATATATACTCTAGATTATAAGTAGCCAGCATGTAATGACACAATATTGAAAAACCGCCTCCGTGGTCGAGGGGGTTAGAGTCGATGACTTCTAATCCAGTTACCTCTCTGGAGTGGGTTTGATCCCCGGGAGATGCTTTGGTAGTTTAGCGCGGAGGAAGGTTGTCTAGTACTGGTGTAACTCTCCAGGAACGATGGTTAGGAAACTACCCGCCTATATGACTGAAATACTGTTGGAAAAAGGCGTAAAATGAAACAAATAAACAAACAAAACAATATTGAAAAAGTTTGATTCAGTGTAAATTGTTGAAATAGAATGAGAATTGATTTAATTAAGACCCAGGTATCCTGTATTTTTCAGTAAGTAAGTACTTAAAAGTGCCGTAATTTCTCAATTAACAGTCGAGCTAGTATTTTAGTTTGAACAAAAAACATAACATTCCTATAAAGAATTTAGCCTTGTGACAAGATGTAATTACATTTGGTTTGCTTGTCTGTATGCTTTACACTTCCATGCTTAGACAGTCCTTGCTTTTCGTTATAAGCTTCGAAATTGTTTCAAGTCCTTGCATTGTAAACCTTAACTTAGGCATTAATGAAGCTTAAATGGAACAGTTATTATGAATTTACAGAATCTCCGGTGTCGCCAGGTGCTGTGATGTTCTCTAATGGTGTCCCTTATACCTACCAGAATGGCATGGCAGTGTTTGCATCTCCAGAAGCAGGTTATGCTGTACCTCAAGCTCAGGTATGAAACTTTACTTTCCTAGGATTATTACACATGTAATCCTGGGTCCATTTCCGACTTTAAACCACTGGCCTCTCACCGCTTCGGGTTTAAATCCTGACGGGGACTTCGAATTCTTTCATGTGAGAAAGTTTTCCAGCAAGCTTAGAATGTCAGTGGTTCTACTCAGGTGCTTGTTTCTGCATGAAAAATTGTATTCCTAGAAATTTTCAATGGTATAGTTTTTCATTTTTTATATGATTTAAAATTCGTAAAGCTTTTTACACAACACCATTGGGAAAAAAAGCTCTACTGATTTCTGTATATTTAGTTAGCTATAAGTATATAATTGGATGTTAAACTATGTTTCATTATCATAAATTTTCCTTTTTCAGCCACAGACAGCATTAATGGTCCCACAGACACCACCAGTGTATGTACAACCACAGTATGCAACATACCAAGTACCAGTTTCAGCATATAATTATACATCATTACAGGTTTGCTTTCTAATTATTTTATAAAGGTTGTCTATGCTGCAATACATGTCACTCAGTGATTGTTTTTACACTTTTTTGTGAAACAGCTCGTGCCTTCTCTTCTGTGAATTTTTAAACACGCTTAAGTTTAATTGTGAAAAATAAAATTTAGACCTAATTAAATAATCAAGATACAAGTAAAAAGAAAATTACATATCAATACCAGGGATGTTTATGTTATTATACAGGGCTGCCGATTTTCCGCGGATCCGCGGATTTCGTGAGCTCCTGGGTCATTTTTGAGATCAATGTAAATTCGACAAAGACAATAAATTCATTCGTCAAATTTTATACAGTACCCAAAAACCGGCACGCTTTGGCTTTTATCGTTAGCTAGCCGCCTATGGTACGTCTGTAAGCTCTTTTCTCATGGGTCATATCGAGTCTTTTCCGGCATTCTATTTTAGAATAACCAATCAAATTACAGTTTACATTGTCGCTCTTGTCTGTTGTCAAAATGCGTCAAAATGTTGGATATTTGTCAAATTTAGAGTCCAGGAAATTGATTTTAGGGCAAACCAAATCATCAGAATCCAGGAGCTTCCGGGGGCTTTGCCCCCTGGACCCCCACCAGGGCTCTGCCCTGGACCTGCAATTTTTCCGCTGATTTTGAAATTTGCTGTTGGCAGCCCTGTATTATATTATCTACCGGTTTCGACCTACAAAAATTTGGGCCTGAAGTATATAGGATGGTTAGTCAATGACTGACCAAAATGGTAACAAAAATTCTAAAAATACGAGATCTTGCGCAGTGCCAGAATATTGTTATGTATATGTAATAAAAAGAAACATGGTTTTACCGAGTCCAGTGTTTTCTGGCCATTGAAAAGTTCCATAAATAGAGGATACACAAATAATTTGTTGACAGTTTGTGTCACTTTTAGTATTACTTTTTCTATGTTATGCATTTTTTTAATGTGAATACATGTTGTTTCACAAAAAAGTGAGAGGAAAGGGAAAAAAAATCACTGCAATGACTGCGCATGTGCCATTTGCTCTAGAGGAAATAGCACAAACAATTTTTAGTCCCCTGCCGGTTTACCGGAGGGGACTTTAGGTTTACCCTCAGTCAGTCCATCCGTCCACAAAACTGGATCCCACGATAACTTGAAAAGTACTGAAAATATTTCTATTATACTTGATATATGGATAGATGGCAGTATGGGGATTATGCACATCTTTTTCTTTTCTTCCTATGTTGAAAATTCTGGTTGCTATGGCAACATATAGGCTGAAAATATGGCAAATTTTACACATAAACTGGATCCAGTGTTAACGCAAAAAGTACTGGAAATATTTTTATGAAACTTGAAATATGGGTAGATTGCAGTCTGGAGATTATGCACGTCTTTTTCTTTTCTTCCTATGTTGAAAATTCTGGTTGCTATGGCAACACATAGACTGAAAATATGGCAAATTTTACACATAAACTGAATCCAGTGATAACTCAAAAAGTACTGGAAATATTTTTATGAAACTTGACATATGGGTAGATGGCAGTCTGGAGATTATGTATGTCCAATGGCCCTTCAGAATGTTGATGGGGTTCTAACCGGTAGGAGACTTATGGATTGCTTGCAAAACTATGATAATTGTTTGTCTTTCATAGACATACAAATAATAAGGAATTGCTCTTTTCATTTAAATTCAAACAATATTTTTGTAAATTACAGGTAGCAGCCATATAGCTTAATACACTTTTGAGCATGTGATATTTTGACTTGTCTTTTCTGTATTTGTAGACTTCACCTCAGTGGGCAACTACAGCAGCAGCGGCTGCAGCAAATGCAGGTCAATGGCGATACATGACGCAGGTAAAAACATTTTTTGGCTCAGGGCGAGTTTAAGGATCGTTGAATGTTCGCCATCTGTCGTCCATCCTTATTTGTTCGTTAACACTCTTGTGGTCACATTTTCTCCTCAATCAACATCAAACTTTGCCGGGATGCTTGTCAAGCTAATTGCTCACATGAGTTACAACATGGGTCATCTCTGATGATAAACAAGGTCACATGAGCTAAAAATGGAAAAATCTTGTTAACACCGAGTAGAAGCTACTGTTTTTATCTGAAAGTTTGTTTTAATGATTTCTAGGTCACGTTGGAATATGGGTCAACTGGGATAAAAAAAACTAGGTCACATTGCCCATAGATGGAAAAACCTTGTTAACACTCTAGTGGTCAAATTTTTCACTCTTTGACTCTATTGTCATCAAACTAGGTCACAGGAGCATAAAAATAGAAAAATCTTGTTAACAATTTAGTGGGTTCTGTTTTGATCCAAATATCCTGGAAATTGGTCTGAAAGTTTGTTTTGATGATTTTTAGGTCAAGTTCAAATATGAGTCACCTGGGTTCAAAAACTAGGTGGCACTGCCCAAATTTGGAAAAACCTTTTTAACATTCTAAAGGTCACATTTTTTACTCTATTGTCAACAAACTTGGTCAGGATGCTTGTCTAAGTAATTGCTTGGATGAGTTCGATTGGTCAGGTGAGCGATCTGGGGACATTTTGGCCCTCCTGTTAGCTTGACTATTTAAAGAAAAGGGAAAGCTTTTGTTCTCACCCAGTGGTCCTTGTCACAGTTTGGTGATGGTTTTCCATGTAAGTTGGCATTTCCAAAACTATTGAATGAAATGGGATGAAACCTCATAAACTTGTTTGAGAGCATAATAGTTCACTGTCAAAGGCACATAACTATAACATTGATTTGACAGAATTATGCGTTTATATATAAATGCGTTTATATATAAATGGATATGTATATATATACAAAATATATAACCAAAACTAATGTGACAAGACAGATCAATTAAATTTATAAAAAGGAAACGTTAAGATTTGTTCAAACATTTCTGTTTGCTTTTAGAAAAAGTAGAAAGTCTAGCGTTGCCCCTGCCCGGCAGTGGCTCTTGTTGTTGAGCTCACCTTAGCACATTGTGCTCAAGTTTAGCTTTTATGATCACAATCTTTAAGTCTGTTCAGTGTTGCCAACATTTTTTTAAAAATGAATATTTAAAAATCTGCTTCTGAAAGTGCAAGAGCTTGAGCTAAGAGATTTTGTATGTAGTAAGAAATCTCTTTGGCTTACAGAAAAGTGCTTGTTCTTTAAGTCAAGCGCTCTAGTTTGTGCTTCAAATAATGCAATTCATGAGAAAACTCTATGGTCACCTGGTATCATGTAAAGTGTTTGTAGTTTTGCAAAATTTGAATTGTAAAGAAAACTTGGTTGACTGTAAGTGTTGATAGCTGTTCATAATTATATTATATATTATTGTGTGATAATTATGTTAAAGTGAAACAAATGTTTTTTATTTAAATGTAGAGCCCTACTACAGCTTTGACAGCTACAGCCAACCCTTACATGATCGCTATGCAACCAGATTTGATGTATGCTCAAGTACCACAGGCATATCAAGCCCCAGAATTCACAGATGCTACTGTTCTTGATGGCACTGCTGGGGTTGAGGTAATGTCAAACCATTATGCTCTGTGATAATTCAAGAATTGTGAATTTACAAAATAGTGTGTAAATGAAATATTTGTTGTTTTGAATAGTGGTCCTCATAAATGCAGACCAATACAAAATTTATCTTTTCTAAATTATGAAATGTTTTACTTGAAGCAGCTTTCCCTTAAGTTTTAAATGAGCACTAAATTGTCTATTTTACTAACAAGTTTCTTGCTGATTCATTATGTGTTGTGTAGGGTCTGCCCACAGGATAGCAATAATATATCAAGAAAATCAAGAAGTTTGAGAAAAATGTATTAAAATTTTTAAGAAAAGTTAAAAGATTAAATATTCATGTAAATATTTTTACATGTGTGGTTTATTACTGGTTTTGCAGTGTTTATCACCATATTTCTACAGTGACTTGCACAGAAAGGGCTTTTTAGAGATTTTTTTTTTGTAATTTATGTGGATTTTTAGTGTTGTATATTACTTTTTTATTGACTTCACCATAATGTACTTTAAAATACATTTTCAAAATTTTCATGAATATTAGCAGGAGGCATGCTGCTTTAAAGTAAGTCCTGATGTTACAGAAATGGCATACATGTTCTTGAAATAATGCCAATGTAAATAATTAAATGACATCTAAATGTGCCCCTTTAGTTGAAATTGACAAGATAAGTTTGTTTTATTCTGTAGCAAGTTTGAACATAATGATTATCCATGCATGTTTGAATTAATTGTAATTGGTCTGTCATTTGTGAATGATCTGTTACTTACAGGTATTTATTTTGTACGGAGAAGGTATACATCATTCCAGTATTTATTATTGAGAAGTACTTTTTTGTTGCATTTTTTGTACAGATGCTATTTTTGTACCTCATAAAACATCTTTGTTTTGTTGTTGAGAAAGAAATGTTTGGAAGTTGGAGAGGAATAGAAAAATTGTTATATATATACTTCTTAAATAACTCATTGTTGTACTAAGTATTGTCAACTATTGCCTCATATTTATTCATTTTTGTTATATTTTAAGTTTATTAACTTCATATTCTATTAAAAAAATCCTCATTATTGTGCAATAATAACTTGATTAATTTAAATCTATTTATTTTGCCTTAGTTATGAATGTTCACAGGTGTACTTGTACTTAAAAGACTTCAGATGCATGGAGAGAGAGAGAGAGAGTTTACATATAAGTCTTCAGGTTTTTGTTTTTTCATTTGAACTCTACAATTTAATCTCTGCTTCATTCCAGTACTTAGAGAGGGCTCAATGTTGTGTTTGTAAAATGCTTATCTTAAAACTGCATGGATTTGGTGGATGCTACATCAATCAGCATGATAGATAAATGAACAAACATACTTGACACTAATATATGCATATTTTTATTGATTTTGCAGCATGGTGTGCCTTATACTGTTCAGAAGATGTATGGTCATTCTGTATTGATAAATATATGTTAACCTCTACAATATTACATAATAACAAATTGTCCAAATTTACAGATCTCCAAATATTTTGCAACTTGAGATTTACTCCAGTCAGGCTGAACTTCATGGGTACATAACAAGCTTGAGAAGTTTAGATTCTGTTCTCAGATTAATTTTCACTCAAGATTACTTTGAAATTCATGTTTACTAAATTTTTTGTAGCGTTCTGGTAATACAGTTTGTTTTTACCTTCCACATGTTTGATGATATTAACATGAAAGTTTTAACCCTTTTTCATTCTTGCTTGTTGTTCTTGTTAAGATATTTAAAAGTGAAAATGTTTACAAAAACAACAAAAACAACATTAAATGGGAATGAGGGTTTTGTTTGGAAAAAAGAAAGAATCATCATTTTAGAAATGAATTGATGTCCATGTTTTTCTATGCAAGCATAAGACATTGAAGAGAAAATTGTTTCATTAAGATTAAAATAGATTTGCCTTGTTGAAAGTTTATAGTTGACTAACACTTGTTCAGTATTTGCTTGATGCACTTTCATGTTTCTTACAATTTTCCTATGATTTTGATGTGGACTGAAATGCATAAACAGCATTTTTACCCAACTATTCTGATAAATTCGTATTTGTTGTACAAAGATTCTTACATGAAAGTAGAGAATGCCAACCTGATACTTTTATCCATGGAACAGGAAAATATACTTTGTAAAACTTATAGAAAAAAGAACTTTTGTAAGAGATGTTTTCATACAGCTTCTTAAAGCATGCAGTTTAAACTTAATGCATTATCTCAACTGCATGTGTATACTTTGCATGCAATTAGATGTTTCTAGGAAATGCATTTGTTTCAGGGCAGCATCTCCATGGGGGAACAAAGCTTGCAACAACTGGTCAGCCAGCCAATCGTCTCTGTTACTGAGGCAAAAGTCCCAGCTCCAGCACAAAATGTGGCTGTGTCAGTCGTGGCGACGACGATGCAGTATACACCTCCAGTTGTAACCTGCTCCATGCAGCATGACAAGTGTATCCCTATGTCTATAATTAACTCTGTTATGTCTACTAATACTCCAATTACTACATCTAGTCCAGTATCTACAGTCACCACAAGCAAGCATTCTAGTGTCTGTGCTATCAATGTTGCGCCTTATAAGAAACCAATCGCAACTGTGTCAAGAAGAAACTTCACAAGTCCCTTCATTGTAAGGAATGGACATAAAGTACAGTGTTTAATGGTCCCACCAAAAAATATGGCTTCCGGACAATATGCTTTTATGGCACAGCTTCCAGAGGAGACTGGTACCCCTACTCCTTGGAGTATTCCTTGAAGAGAACTGAAGTGAAAAAATTATCTGGAAATGACTATAAATAAAACACGTTATTTGTTTTCTTGTTAAGGTTGCTGGTTTTTAAGTAATTTGTTTACAATGTTTTTTTTCCCTCCTGTAAAATGATTTATTTTTCTCTGATTAATCTAGTAAAAGATTTCTTTAGTTGTAATGTATCAGTATGCATGTTACAGTATGATTATTGAAGAATAAGCATTCATGCATGAGATCCATTTGTATGCTGGGCTAAATGTAGTTGTTTCAGATTAGTTCTTTGTTTTATTGAATTGATTGATGATTGCAAACCATGTCGACTGAATTATATGTATTTTTTGTATGATCATTGCTTAGTGTGATTTGAGAAAGAAGATAATGTGTTGATGATGGCTTTTATACATAGGATAAAATGTAAAAATGAGCCATGCATAAAAAAAAATTGGAAAATTGTGTTTAATTGATTGAAAGCAATAAATTGTTAATTGCAGGAAATAATTAGAAAAAAACAAATACAAAAAACATTATCAAACTGCTTAACCTGTCCTCTATTACAGCAAGAATAAAAAGTTTCTCTTTGGTAAACAAAAATCTGATTTGATCCAAAAATGGATTTTATTCGGAGGAAAATAGTTACTGACAACTTTGGAGTTTAATTTTTAGTTTTCTATTGAATTTTTATGTATTATGTCAAAACTTTTTGCTAGAGTAAAGTGAATTCTCGCTGGTAGATCAAATAAAATGAAGAAATATTTATTGAGGTAAAAAATGTCTACCGTTTACATTGTTTGTCAGTATAATGTATTTGATCATAATAACCAAGTATTAAAAGTTATTTCATGTTTAATGAAAGACAAGAATTTTTAATAACAGATTGATACAGAATTTAATAATTTTGAATACTCTTTAATTTCTTTACACTTTTGATATTTTTTGTTGATTATCAAATACTTGTAAAATTATGCTAGGTATGAATGTTGAATATATGTACTTATTGTATACATATGTTTATATTGTTTAGCAAGTTGTTGATATACCATTTAGGAATTTATCCATTTGATAAAAGATCTTTCATCTGAATTTATATTGTATCATTATAAGTTATATATTGGCCCAGAATGGTTGACTAAAATTTTCTTTGATTTGACATACTACTTTTACAGTTTGGTTTGAAGGATGTTGAAATGAGGGAATTTACTCTTCAAACAGATAGGAATCAACTTATTAAGCTGTTTGAGAGAGATTCTGATCTGTAAACGACAATAATAAAGATTCTAGTTGTAAATCCTTTACTGAAATTTTATAAAATATGAAGTATATAATTATTATTTGGTCATATTTTATTAGATGATTAAAATAGTCTGTTCATTTATGTTTCATTGTAATTAACCATCTAGATGTGCATGTTGTGAAATGAAAATTATTGCTCAAAACACCCATCGTAATTTCCTTCAAAAATAGAGTGCCTTCCTTTATCCAAGAATTAGGTTTTTAATGTGCTAACATTGCTTTCATGTGTATTTGGATATTTACAAATGTTTTATATGTATGTATAATATGTAATATTTTGAGAATTCTATCATGTATTTTAGAGATTTAAATCATTTCATTTTCTGCAGCTTCATCTATACATCAGTGAAAATATTTCATTTTAGTCTTAGTAAAATAAATATGGTGCTTAATACAGTACATGTAGCTTATTTCTGTTGTTTTTTTCCATGAGAATGCATCTAAAATGATGGTTTTATTCTTTAATTAAGGAAGTGAATAAAATATTTGGTGCATTTTAAAAACACTTGTATACATAATTGTAAATTTTTGGAATTTTCTTTTATTTGGTGAATTATATACATGTAAAAGCACCTGTATACATTATTGTAAATTTTTGAAACTAACTAATGCTTTTGAATTACACTTTGGTTTGTGAGTGTCCTTAATTATTGAAAAGTATTGTACAAGTAATTTGTAAAGAGATTTTTGAAGATAGAGATGAAAATAAAATTTAGATATTCTTGTAAAATGTTTCATTGTACAAAAGTGCTAATCTTAATTCTAGTGACAATAAAAGGAATCGAATATTGATGTTGTTTGTTTTTGTCGAACTTTTGTTTGATATAAGGGACGGCTGTAGAGATGTTGCCCATCATCCCCATTAAGTGTCTAGTTTTACTTATTTTCAGTCAACACCATGTAATAAATTTGGTAAAAAATATCGAGTATTCTAATTTATTTCAAAATCCTTCACTTCATTGTGCTTGACTGAAAATAAATGAAACTGGGCAATTTTTAAAATAACTGGTGGATTTTAACCACAATATAGGAAACCAATGCTTGGATGGCCTTCTACACATGTAATAGAAATGATTCTTGACGATGCAGAGGTAGGTTACACAGGTTAACTATATTACCGTGTAAGATAAACACTTGTATTTTTTTTTAATTTGCGTATTTCTGTGTGATTGTGGTAGTCCATACGTATGTACATCGTACGTCACCTTCCCTGTCCCGAGTAGAAACTGGCCAATAGATTACCACTTCGATGCGAGATGACCGAATTTGATGACCACATAGTTTGTTTGACCAGTAACTGAAAAACACTGCCTATACTCTGTTGGAGGTCTCTGTTGCCCTGACCATTTAAAGTTTTAGAGCCTTGGCATACAGTCCTTATAATTGGTGTGAACGATTGTCATTACTATGAGATGATTCCTTGCGTCATAATTGCGGGAAATAAATGAAGGTTTTTGAAAGTTACTAAATTCAATTATCTATAATACTTTCCTCATGAGACGAGGGGTTGTCGGTTAAACTCCCAGCGTGAACATAAGAGGCGACTGAATGGGAGTCGAGGTGGCCTATTGACGCATTTTAGTTTTATAAGTTACTATTTCACTGGGGATTTGAAACAGTGAAATAATCAATGTTTAGAAATACAGATATATCGAAGAAAGAGTAAAAAAACAACGGAAGTTAAAAAATTCGGTGGCACCTTGCTATTGCTATATTTTAAAGTAAAAGTGACATCATTTGAAAATTATTAACAATAGGTGTGTTCAGATTGCAGTGTGTTCGACACAAACAAAAGTAAGAGCACTTCACTTTTGCTATATTAAAAAGTAAAAGGGGCATCATTTGCAAATTGAAAAAATATTTTCTCAGATTGCAGTGTGTCTCGTAGACCTATTGCCATATTTAAGAGTAAAAGGGGCATTATTTGAAAATCCTTTTTCTCAGATTGCAGTGTGTCTGTCTTGTGTCGTTATCCACAATATCTTTAAACAACACCTCCAGAAGTCTTGCCAGTAGACCTGTTTCCTAAAAATTGTCTTGGAAACTACCATGTCCAGGGATATTTGGCATGAAGCATCACCTTATTTAGGTCCTTTTCAAAACTAACATGCACCATCCCCCGTGCTTAAAATTGGTCCCGCACGAGGGGTCACTTAATTTTTAAAGTGTTAAAAGAAATTACTTTTTAAAAATCTTTTAGGAAACTGCAATGACAAGAGCTTAGATTTTTGACATGTAACATCATCTTGTTGTCCTGTACAAAAATTATGTAATTTATGCTCTTGTCGGAAATGGCCCCGTCCTGCGTCACTTAAGTTTAAATAGACTAGTGTAGTAAAAAAAATGTATTAAAAACTACAATTTCAAGAGCATAGATATTTGGCAGTAGCATCACCTTGTGCGGTAGTTAACGGAGTTCATTATAATGGCAAGTTTATAACTCATATATACTCATTATATGAATCCAAAACCGCTATATAGGTTAGATATTTGGCATGACACATCTAGTAGTGGATGTCTATCAAGTTTGTTAAAATAAATGCTCTAGGGTCAAAATTGGCCTTGCGCCAGGGGTCATTGATTTTCCTTATATACTAGAATACATGTTAATAGTAAAAACTTTAAAAAAGTCTTCTTGTGAAAATCCTAAAGACCTAAAGCTTAGATATTTGACATGAAACATGTTCTAGTGTATGTCTACCTTGTTTGTTGAAATAAACCCCCTAAGGTCAAAATTGGCCCCGCTCCAGGGGATCGAGGTCGACAGTTCAAACCCCAGCTAGGTCAAATGTTTGTTTTCCCTCTCTTTTTTATCATCTTTTTATAAGCTCACCTCTCATGCACTTAGTGACAAACTGAACTGTTTAATAAAATGGCTGCCAGATTTAAAATTAGAAAACAACATCTTAACATCATCTTTACCATTGGTTCGGTTTTGAAATAGATGGATACCGAAAATAAGCTATTTTCGCGAAAATAAGATCGCGGCTACGAAAATAAGATTTATTTTTTAAATGTTACAGATCTTTTTTTTTTTTTCGTATAGATCACATTTTCTATAGGATCTTATTTTCGTATATATAGTATTTTCATACTTATTTTACATATATTATTTTCATATGTATCTTATTCTCGTAAGGATATTATTTTCATGCAACTTTCATTTTCACAGATCTTTCATTTGTAAAAATCTTAGTCGAATACAGACAGATCTTATTTTCGTACAGTTTTATTTTCAATAGGATCTTATTTTCGTACATATAGTATTTCCATACAGATCATATTCTCAATTATTTTTGTACGAATATCAATGCATACAGGTTTTGACTTTGAATTGTTTACAGATCTTATTTTCGTACATGTAGTTCTTTCATAAATAATAAATAATTTCATACAGGTATTAACTATTTACAGCGAGATCTTATTTTGGTATATACCTTTTTTCGTATGAACATTATTTTCATACAGCTTTTATTTCTTTACAGATTTTATTTTCTTAGAGTACTGTTATGATTTTATTTTCGTACGGTACATATTCTTATATAGATCTAGATCTTATTTTCGTAGTCGTTGTTTCATGTTGTTTTTGCAATAGTTCTTTTTTTATTTTGATACTTTTTCACCACAAACATGTTTTGTCTTATAAGAGAACATTTCATTCTTAAAACTTATTTGCAAAATCATTAAAAGTAAAGTTAACACTATTTTAATATAAGTTATGAACCATGCAAATCTTATATATATTTTCGTAGATGCCATCTTGGTTAAATATGTTCATGCGTTCTTACTATAGTAAATTTGGGATATTTACCATATTTGTCGCACAAACATCTAATATTTCATTACAATTTTTTTTATTCTTTATTATTTCATTCAAACAAATCATTTAATAACAGCAAAAATAGTTTTTGATTCATTATATCAAAAATAAATATTATTTTCGCAGACCCGATCGTATTTTCGATTTACACGGCAATTTAAGCTATTTTCATACGATAGTATTTTCGGCTCAAACTTCACTTTTTTAAATATATTTTTAGTTCTGAAATTTATTATTTCATTCATACAAATCAATTGTTAAGAAACAAAAAAATACGTTTTTAATACATTATATCAAAAAATAAATCTTATTTTCGTAGACCCGATCTTATTTTCGCTTTAACAGCAATTTTGAGCTATTTTCGTACGATAGTATTTTCGGCTCAAACTTCACTTTTTTAAATATTTTTTTGGTTCTGAAATTTTAATTTGCTGTAAAATCATTCAATGAATGCATAAATGTATATTTTACATAATTATTTCAACAGATAAATGCACTATTTAAAAAATAAATCTTATTTTCGTAACCGCGATCTTATTTTCGCGAAAATAGCTTATTTTCGGTATCCATCTATACCCATTTTACACAGTTTTCCTTGGTGACAGTGTACACATTTTTTAAGATTTAGCTGTCCCCTGCTTTCAAATTGTGCTTCTGGGGTGAAAAGGGGCTACACTTTGACCATTTGACCTATTTCTCAGGTGAACGATCCAGGGTCCTCTGGGCCCTCTTTTTACTTTGTTTTTGCTTATAC